TTAAGGATATTTCTGTGATAAGATACTGGAAGGACTCGAGTTGAGTCAAGAGTGAAAATTCAGAGTTCATCTTCCATCATTGGACTAGGGACCATGTGGACTGGCACCATTGGTTCTCAGTGTCCTTACCAGTTGTCTCCTCCTGAGAGACCATTATGAGGCATTACTGATAATTCTGGGAATGAAGGTATTAGCTGTTCTGACCAGACTAAAGCAAGATCTGAAAAAGAAAGACTACATCAAACAGAATGATGATTGTTGAAATCTATCTGTCCCCTGCCATTTAGGGGCACAAGAGTAAATGCAGTTAATTGTCCTGCCTCTCTGGAATTTCTCCTTAAGTCCTCCCCACAAGAGAGAAGAATGTAAAGAAGATAACTTTTTATTGCAGCTAGAAGTACTTGGCACTGATTGAATATATCCCCAAATTCCACCCTTCCCCTCTGTTCCCTGTTCTTTCATTTCTACTGCTTATTCTTCCTTTTTTTTTTTTAATAGAAAGAAAACTAGTAGCTGCTAATTCTCATTGTGTAGTTAATTTTAGCAGCACCAATAGAGATTTTGGTTAAATGGGCAAGTTTGTACAGTAGGCAGGAGATAGATTCCACAAAGATGTAGCAAAATTAGTGATTTCTCTCTCAGAATCACAAACCCTTTGGTGTCACTTTGAGCTGATAATCAGGAGAGGTGGTAATTAGAGAGAGATTAATAACCCAAAGTAAATCAAGAGCCCCTAGGCATAGTAGAATAGCACTGAGAAGCTGAAGGGATGAGAGTGGTGAGATGAGGCAAACAGGGTGAAGTGACTAATCCAGGGTCACACAACTAGTACGTGTCTGAGGCCAGATTTGAACTCAGAGAAATGAGTCTTCCTCAGCTTCAGAACTCCGTTTACCATACCACCTAGCTGTCCATTGGTGTAGGTAATTGGTGTAGGTAAACTCCTTTGATTGTTGCAAATCACAATTTCTATGTGAATTCTTAATGTCTGTGCTTGTAGCCTGGGTGTTACAACCACTCTTGAAACTTCACAAACTCTAGTTCAAACCTGGGGCTTTTAAATAGAAATGTACCTACCTGACTTGCTTTCTTTCTATCAAGTTAGAAAACTGGGAATTCCTGAAATTAACTCGTCTAGAATTTTGGTGTTAACCATATTAACAGGCCCAGGCAAAGAACAACACTGAACCAGTAAAACATTTAATTGGAATAAGAACGAATACTGAAGTCCCAAAAAACAATCCTAGCAATTTTTATCAACTCAGATTCATTTCTTAGATCTCCAAGATAGTTTAGGAAACAGGCACCTCTAGAAGGAAACAGGCCTCTGATAGGACTCATTCTCTTTTTCTAACCAGGATGAGGGAGTTGAAATCTTCATTATGGACAGTCTTGGCATCCCTATTTTAAAATTGCTCCTGGCTGTATATATTGCTAGTACTACTTTACAGCTACTAACTGTGATCACTATTTACCAGCTTTTTAAAACTAGACACCTCCTTACTCTGCTCCAGGCATAACTATAGTTATTGGATTCAACAACAAAGAACTAGTATTGCTACTGAACATGTCTGTTCTTGGAAACTTCCTTTGCTCTGTATGGTCATGAGCTCAGCTCAACCTCCATTTTCTCCCTTTTTCTTACTTTCCTTCCTTAATCTCCTTGGGGAAAAAAAAAAACAGTTTCACTATTGGTTCATAGGCTTCATGGGAATTGGTGTTCTTTTTCTCCCAATGAGCCTTTGTCTTTTAGTCCCAACCATTCTGGGAAACGTAGTCCTTCCTTGTCTTTCCCCTTCTTATTGCATCCTGGAGTACATAGTCCTTTCTAATTCACCTACATTCGTTAAGTCCAGCTTCCACTTAAAAACCTTTTTTTGGAGTCCCTGAAAACTATACTGGTTAATGACATACAAGATGTAGATTTGTGTCACATGGTATCCATTAACTTAGACATTGCACTGTCATACATAGGTACATAGTATGCAACATCCATTTAGGGGAGAGGAGGTCAGAACAATGATTTCATCAATGTAGGCAACTCTTTGTGTGGAAACTCCCTTCCCCAAATCAGCCAGTCAACTTGCCTGAAATTCATAGTGTTAGAATTGTTTGAGGCTATTGAGAAGTTAAGTGGCTTGCTCAAGGCCCCACAACAGCAGAGACAGGACATGAAGCTACGCTTTCCTAACAACCAGGCTGACCTGCCATCCATTATATATTGTTACCTCTCAACATTCATGTTCGAGTTGCATATAATTTTGTGTTTTATGACCAAATACATAGGTCACATGCAAGCACATGCTATACTCTATCCATATAAGAAGCATGTGTTATATTTTCTACATGCTCTTCTGCAAGACCATCTGGCTGCACATGTAATTACCCACTACCATAGCAGTATCATATTTCAGCCTTGTCACTAGCTGGATATTCCTAGCATTTCTGCAATGACCCCACTATCAGTTCTGACCTCCTAGTCTCCATGCCCATTGTGAGTAGCTTGAAATCCACTGGCCCACTACCCTATAGCCCTTTGCTGAGCCTGTGGTTGGCCCAGGCTGAATAGTGTTGGCTCCAGCCCCTAATAAGTAAGGCTTTCTAGTTGGTCTCTGTTCCTTTGGAGCCCTCACAGACAGCATTAGATCGAAAATGGGCCTTCTCTGAATATAGCCCTTTCCCTGATATTGGGCAAAGGCAATCCTGTTAAGCTCCCTCTAACTGCAGATGAATACCAGTATACAATACAGCTTCTTCTTCCTTTGAATCTTGACCCGGAGCTTTCTCTTCGATACCAATTGTCCACTTGCAATGGCAAGGCAATTACCTTGTAAAACCCACTTTATCAATTCCTGTCCCCCCAGAAGCAGGCAACAGGTAGCTGCAATGCCTCACCTTTGCAGGACCTTCTTTATCTCTCTGAACCCTTTGACACTGTCAATCATCCTTTTCTCCTTGATACTTTCTTGTCTCTTGATTTTCATGGCACTTCCTATTTTGATTCTTCTCCGACCTATACGACTACTCTGACTGTTCCCTTTGCCTGATCTTCATCCAGTCTTCTAACCACGAGTGTCCCCCAAGGCTCTGTCTTGGGGCCTGTTCTTCCTTTATACGATTTCTCTTTGTGATCATCAGATCCCATGGATTCAATTATCATATTTATGAAGGTTCTCAAATCTATTTATCTGGCCCTAACCTCTCTCCCGATCCCCAGTGTTGCATCTTTAGCTGCCTATTGGACATCTTAAACTGGATGTCCCAGAGTCATCTTAAACTCAGCATCGCCAAAATGTACTCATTGCTTTCCCCCCCAAAGACCTCCCCTCTTCCTAACTTTCCTATTACTACTATCAAGGATAACGTGGGTGTCATTCTTAGTTCTTCAGTTTCTCACCTTCCCATATCCAATCTGTTCCCAAGTTCTGTCGATTCTACCTAAACAACATCTCTTGCATATGGCGCCTCCTTTCCTCTGACACTGCCATCTAGTGCAGGCCCTCATCACCTTATACCTGGACTATTGCAATAGACTTCAGGCTGAGGATGTCAGAGGAGCAGAGCAAACTTCCAGGGATGATGGTTACAGTGGTGTGGTAAATAGTCTTGTCTCAAAGACAAGAAATCTCTCAAGGGGATCTCAAAGGGTAGGTAAGCCTGAGTTCACATTTCTCTTGGCCTGTTACAGACCTTTATCCTGAGGCTATACTTGCTGGCAATTGCTCATGGATAACTTGTCTAGTGATAATAAAATTTAAATTAAAATTTAAAATTAAAATAAAAATTAGATATGCAAGTATACTCTCTGTAGTGAAATCCCAGACTTTCAGCTGAGTTGTCTTGTATTAGCGGCTCTGTTCACCATGCATCACAGATTGCCTTCATTCTCTCCATAGGGATCACCAAGGTTTCTGTTGTATGGGCATCTGTGTTCACATTGTTCTTTCATGACTAATAATGAATACTGAACTCATAATTGGTCCATACCACTACCCATTTCTGGCTGGCAGCATCCAGTTTAGCACTTGTCAGTGGACTGTTATCCCTCCATATTTGGAATCTTGCCCCATACATATAATCTCATAATTATCAGCTATAGTCAAAATAATAATAATAATAATGCATTTATATTTATGTAGCGCTTTAGGATTTAAGTGCTTTACAAATATTATCTCATCTTATTCTCACAACAACCCTGGGAGAGAGATGTTATTATTATCTCCATTTTATAGTTGAAGAAACTGGGGCAGACAGAGGTTAATTGACTTGCCCAGGGTTATGCAGCTACTAAATATCTGAGGCCAAATTTGAACTTAGGTCTTCCTAACTCTGTCTAGTCTCTATCCACAGTCACCTACCTTCCTGTTCATATTTCAGTGGTGCTTTCAATATTTTATGAATTCCAGAACAATTTTTGAAAAGTCTATCTGTTATCCATCATTCTTGCTATGTATCTGGCCCACTTCCCTTTCCAGCCACATGATCTTGATGATGCTACCTTTTACAACAATTCCTGCTTGTAAGTCACCATTGGTATTACACCTCACACTGCTTATTCCACCCATTATGTACCTTTCCATTGCTTTTTTGGATGGCCATCAATTTTTATTCTTCTGAGATTATGAAATTCCATGATTTTTAGCCAGGTAAAGATGAACAAGAAAGTCATTCCTTCACTCAATAAATATTGTCTGTTATGTGCAAGATTTGCTAGTCCTTCTTACACATCCTTGTGGGGTGGTGAAGAAGGTAACTATTATCAATGCCATTTAATACATTGGGATGTCTGGGAATGAGGGGGTAAATGGGGCACCCAAATTGCCATACCTAAGATTGTTAGAGACAGAGGTAGGACTGGAAATTGGGCTACCAGTTGTCTGTCCAGCTTTTTATTCTGGGTGTCATTCAATACACAGAGCTATGTTGATATTAAATCGATATTTTTGGTTTTTTGTGAAACAAAGTATATTTACTTGTATATATGCCTTTTTCTTTCCCAGAGATTTCCCAAAGGATAAAGTCTGCATAAAGCTGCCTCTTTCCACATCTCTTACCATCTGACAGCACATTTTCTGGGATCTCACGTACAAGCTGTTTCCTAGGCAACCACCATATAGCCTGCAGAAGAGTCTGCATGAAGAGGAAAGGGGGGGAGGGACTCTATCAGATTTTCACTCTTCCCCCAATTTCCTGAGTTAATAGCACTGCAGATCTTTGACTTTGCAGTGGCAACACAATCCTTAAAGGCTTAGCAATAGGATTGTCCTTCAACTCAAATTATTTTGCTGGTGGAGTCCAAATAACAGCTCATTTAGGATTTTGTCTATCACACCTCTTAGTCTGATTATATTTATATTCACTATCTAGCCTTCCTTTTCTTTTAGCCTCAGTCCATATGTTACATTCCTCTCCCAGGTGCTAAGGGAGTTCTTTATTAAGATGAAACTGCCCTTCAAAGAGATGCTGAGCCACATCTTCCATGATCAGGGAGCACTGCAGAGGCCCCTTTCATTAGCCTTAAGAGAAGATGGCACCTAGAGTTGAAAGTGACTACCCAGTCACACAGAGGAGAGTACACACACACACACACAAAGGATTTTTAAAGCAGGAAGGGACTCTAGAGGTCATAGAGTTCAACCATAAGAATATCTGATGTCCATAAACTATTAATTCTGTTGCAGATCTGTTTGGTTATTCTCCTTTAGTCTTGGGAATGTCTTTGTAAATAGCTGCTAGGTCTTAAAAAGGGAAGGCTTGTTTTTCCTATGCTGCCGGGAAGAGTGTATGATAGTATAACTCCTGCCCCAGAACTCAAGTTTTAGACTTGCAGGACCAAGGTTCATTGTTGAGGCAGCTCTCCCCTACATCATATCACTTTGCCTTGTTCCTCTTTCCCAAACCACCTAGTTTTTTATCCACAGATGTGAGTAGAAAAGTCACTAGTTCCCATGCACACAATGAAGGTAACGATGTGTAAATACTCCCCTCTAGATTATTCTACAACTTCCACTTCCACTCACAGGTTGGGTCCCCAGAAGGGGTGGCTGCTCTCTCAGATTCTACAGATAATCCTATGGATAGCTTCTTCTAGCACCATGGTTCAGGAGTCCCTATCAGTGTGTTTCCTATTAATGATAAGCCAGTAGACATAACTAGCTTTTAGCAACAGCATTATCTTTATGAAGCTATGGTTGTCCAAGAACTACCCTTCTTCTTGAAGGCTGGGTCCTGGATATCTTTAGGGACTTGGCACTGCCCAGGAGATTCCCCCTTTTCTATCCAGGGGACTGGGCCAGTGACTACATATTTTTCTGAGGTTATATTATTGATGGGCCCCATCACTGCCTCTTGTTGGCACCCCTTGAACAGCATCAGTGAAAGCACCTGCAATTGCAATATGCCTGTGTCTGTGCCTTTTCAAGGATTTCGAAGCTTCTGGTGGAGAGGCTATGCAAATACACAGGTTCCCCACCTCCCAGAGGAACTGTCATGTCTTAGATTGTTTGTCAATGCTAAAATTTCTTTCTACAGTTTATTGATTTTTTGAAATTTTTACCTAACTAAAGACTCCCTGTTTCCTTTTATGGGCACTGTAGATTAGGTTAACTTCAATCCACAATAGCCTGAAGCTAATCAAATCACACACTCTATCCTCTCTCACCCCCAGATGCTGAGACTTAATCAAATAGTGAACAAGTGTCCAGGTCTAGGACGCGTCCTCCATCCTTTCAACAAGTGCCAAAGAGCACCTTCCACAAGGAAGGGAATCGAATCTGAAAACAATAACTTACCTACTCCTCACATCACCAAGCTAACCTGATCAACTAACAACACTGGGGAAAATGTGAACATATTAGTCCCAAAGGTTTTGTTTTGTTTTGTTTTGTCCTGGAGGAAGGGAGATACTGATAGGGTTGCCCCCCCCCCAAAAAAAAGAGAATAGTATTTTAACTGAAGTATTTTAAAAATATACTGAAGCAAACAGAAGAAAAGCCAAAAGGAATCGCAGAGTAGCAGCACAGTTGTGAAAGTTACAAGTTGAATTTATTATATATTTAAGGAGTGAATGTTCTGAGTTCACTTTCCCGGAGTTAGGCTTATTCCTGCTGCCCTCTCAGGTTTTAGGGTTGGGATGTTTCTCTTCTAATGCTGTCAGCCCAAGTCCTAGTTCCAGTGTGCTCTCTGCCAAAAATATTAGTTGAGAATGAATTTAGTCAGCCAGTCTTAAGTAGCTTTTAGAAAGGGGTATTTATTAAGATGGACAGGTAGGGATTGCAGAGGATAGAGTTATGGGGCTGAAGTCAGGAAAACTCATCTTCCAGAGTTCAAATCCAGTCCCAGACACTTACTGGCTGTGTGACCCTGGGCAAATGCTTAATCTTGTTTGCCTCAGTTTCCTCAGTTGTAAAATGAGTTGGAGAAGGAAATGGCAAACCATCCTGGTATCTTTACTAAGAAAACCCCAAGTGAGATTGGGAAGGGTTGGATATGACTAAAAAACAACTGAACAACACTAACAACAACAAAATTTACTAAGGTAGTACAATAAGAAAAATTGGTATAAAACAGCCCTCCAAATGTCTGTGACACACTCTCTCTCAAGTACATACAGATTCCTAATAAAAGTAAAGAGCACATGGGGTAATGCAGTAACTCACAACTCCTGGTTGCTGGAAGTAATTTTGTTCCATTTCTGGAATGCTCCATAAATTTCCCTTAAGCATGATTCAGCTCTGTCCTGTTTGGTTTTGGCTCATGATGCAGGCATTTAGAATATTGATTGGAAGATGAGAAGTCCAACATCTTCCACATCCTAAGAAAACGGAAGGTCCTCCTTGAGTTGGGGTAGGGAAAGAAGATCTGGCCAACACTAATCCCAGGCAGTTCCTCCTCAGGCATACACTGATTTCTGGAATTCCCCAACCTGCTTAACTCACTTGATAACTTATAGACAACACCTGGAGATGTGGCCAAGTTTACCAGCCTATTGGAACAGACTTCTGCCTGGAATTATTTTGCCTCATCCAATGGCTTTTAAAGACTTTTCAAACTTTAGCCTTCTGATTGATTGAAACCTATTCACACCCGGTTAAGGTATCACAATTAATGGGATGGTTTTAACCCCACCCTTATACTTAAAAGGAAAAACAAGCTATACATAATAAAGATTCATATTTTCACATACAATTCTATTTTTAAATTCTGTTTTGTATGTGGAAATTCTAATTTTATTTGGTGTTGGTTAAGCTTAGAATATTTTTAAAATATAAAACTTTAAAGAGTTCAAAGCAACCATTTGTTTAAAGTATGTAAGAATTTAATGTTATTCAGTTATGAGTGTGCCACCCTGAGCAAAATGCATTTTGCTTTCATGAATAGTTGTCCCTTTGATTATGAATATTAATTAAGTTTCAACATATAGAGATGCGGGCAGCTAGGTGGCACAGTGGATATAGTGCAGGGCCTGGAGTCAGGAAGACTCGTCTTTCTGAGTTTGAATCTGGCCTCAGACATTTACTAGCTGTGTGACCCTGGACAAGTCACTTCACCCTGTCTGCCTAAGTTTTCTCGTTTGGAAGATGAGCTGCAGAAGGAAATGGCAAGTCACTCTAGCACCTTTGCCAAGAAAACCCCAAATAGGGTAACAAAGAGTTGAAAAACACTGAAAAATAACTGAACAAATAGAGATATAGAAACGGCTAGGTTTCCTAGGTGCCAGATACAGCTTAAAAATGTTACTTGTCAATGTTAGTACTATTTATTCTGAATTACATTCCATTAATTCCACTTTCAGGTTAAAATGACATTGGATAAAATGCTTTTTTACTCTAAATATTTGTCATTTCCCTCTCTGCCTGTCACAATCCTACTCACACTTAAATTCTCATTTCAAATCCTGCCTATTCCATTAAGCCTTTTCTAATCACCCCAGACAAAATGGTCTCTCCCTTCTCTATACTTATCGCCTGTGAATGAACACTGTACTTTGAGGCAGAAGATACGAGTTACGGATACAGCCTGGCCATTTACTACCAAATTTGGCCAAACCAACAATTTCTCACTTAACCTCAGTTTTCTTATTTGTAAAATTAGGGAAAATATCAATAAATCAATAAACATTTATTAAGCACCTACTATGTGCCAGACACTGAGCTAAGTGCTAGAGATGCAAAAAGAAGCAAGATGCAAAGAAATATATACAAAGCAAGCTATAGACAGGATAATTAGGAAATAATTAACAGAGGGAAGGCACTGGAATTAAGAGGGGTAACGGAAGGATTCTTGTAGAAGCTGGGCTTCTATTTAAGACTTAAAGGAAGCTGGGGAGGTCAATAGGCAAAGTGGAATAGGGAAAGCATTCTAGGCATGAGGAACAGCTACAGAAAATCCCTGGGGGCAGCTAGGTGGCGCAGTGGATAGAGTACTGGCCCTGAAGTCAGGAGGACTTGAGTTCAAATCCGGCCTCAGACCAAACACTTGACACTTACTAGCTGAGTGACCCTGGGCAAGTCACTTAACCCCAATTGCCTAAAAAAAAAAAATCCCTGGAGCTGATTGACAGAGCCAAAAGGCTAGTGGTGGGGACTAAGATGTAAGAAGACTGGAAAGGTAGGAGGGGATTAGGTTATGGAGGGCTTTGAATGCCAAACAGAGAATTTTGTATTTGATCCTGGAGTAATAGGAAGCTACTGGAGGTCACTGAGGGAGTCGGCAATGGGGGAACAGTGTGTATATATGTGTGTGTGTGACATGATCATATTTGGCCTTTAGGAAAATCACTTTACAGGCTGAATGGAAAATGGGTTGGAGTGGGGAGAGACTTGAGGCAGGCAGACCCAACAACAGGTTGTTGCAATCATCAGGACACGAATTAATGAAGGCCTGTACAAGAGTAGTTGCAATGTCAGAAGAGAGAAGGGGGTGTATTTGAGAGTTGTTGCAAAGGTGAAATCAACAGGTCTTGGCAACAGCTTGGACATGGGAGGTGAGAGATATCGATGAATCCAGGAGGACTCCTGGGTTGTGAGTCTGAGGGACTGGGAAGATGGTGTTGCCCTTTACAGCTATAGAGAAGGTAGGAGTGGGGGAAGGTTTAGGGGGAAAGGTAATAAGTTCTGTTATGGACATACTGAGTTGTTTACTGGACATCCATTTCAAGATATGTTAAAGGCAGTTGTAGATGGAGAATTATAGATCAGCAGAGAGATTCAGGCAAGAAAGGTAAATTTTATTATCATCAGCATAGAGATGGTAATTAAATCCATGGGAACAGATGAGATCACCAAGTGAAGTAGTATAAAGGGAGAAGAGAAGAGGGCCCAGGACAGAGGGCATGATCTGGAAGAGTATCCAGCAAAGGAGACAGAGGAGCACTCAGGTAGGTAGGAAGAGAACCAGGAAAGAGTGGTGTCCTGAAAACAGGGAGAGAAGAATCAAGGAAGAGACAGTGATTAACAGTGTCAAAGGCTGTAGACAGGTCAAGGAGATGAGCACTGAGAAAAGGCAATTGGATTTGGCAATCAGGAGATCAATCATTAATAACTTTGGATAGTGTTTTTTCAGTGGCATAATAAGGTTAGAAGCCAGATTGTAAGAGGTTAAGAAGATAGTGAGAGGAGAGAAAGGAGAGGCACCAATTATAGATGACCTTTTAGAGGCATTTAGCTACAAAAAGCAGAAGAGATATAGAATGATATTTAGTGGGGATGGAAGGATTAAGTTGAGGTTTTTTGCTTTTTTTATTTTTTCAGGATAGAGGAGACATGGGCATGTTTGTAAACAATAGGAAATGAGCCAGTAGACAGGGAGGGATTGAAAATAAGTAAGAATGTGTTATCTATTTCCTAGTATTGTTGTAGGAACTGAGATAAAGTATGTGTGGAAGAAAAAGATAGTAGTACTAATACCATTCTCTGAATTTTTAGTCTGAAATCTGTCAGAAACAATTTAATTTAATTTAATATTAATCTACTATCAGCGGGGCAGCTAGGTGGCACAGTGGATAGAGCACCACCAGTGCTGGAGTTAGGAGGACCTGAGTTCAAATCCGACCTCAGACACATAACACTTACTAGTTGTGTGACTCTGGGCAAGTCACTTAATACCAACTGCCTTGCCAAAGGAAAAAAAAATCTACTATCAGCATTTCTAGCTTGGAGAAAGAGATATTCAAACTGGCATGGTTTCTCATGCCCTCCAACATTCCAGTATGACTGTCCCAAAACAATTTTAGATAACAATTGTAGGAACCTTGACAAAAAAATCACCATATGTAAAAATGCAGTTTTGTGACATCTCTGAGGTACCACTTTATACTAATCAGATTGGCTAATATGACAAAAAAGGAAAATGATGGACATTGGAGGGGATGTGGGAAAACTGGAACACTAAGGCACTGTTGGTGGGGTTGTGAACTGATCCAACCATTTTGGAGAGCAATTT